AGGGCAGGAACACGACAGTCCCCGTGTCCCCGGGGCTCAGGGGGCTCTGGCCACCCGGGTTGCCCAGGCGCTGGCCCAGCCGGCAGCTCTGCTGGCCCCGGGGCACCTCACTGAGGAGCCAGGAGCATCCGGTCTCAGTTTTTGCAGAAAACCACGTTCCTAGAAATCCTTTCCCACCGAATATACACAAAGGCATTTAATTAAAAAATAAACTTTTACAAGTATGTTCATCCCGACTCCAGCCACAGACATCCCAGGATCGCCCGTGGAAGAGTTTTTGTAGGAGGTTAACAAGGCATCTCCTGGCTGGCACACTGAGCCGGTGTTAATTGGACATCATTAACACGAAATAGAATCACAGACTGGGATGTCATTTCCTCGTCCTTGTTTCAGTGTAAAATTGGTCCCAAAATCCTCCCACCACAATCCTGGAAAAGCTGCAGACGCTGCTCCCAGGAACAGGCTCCTGTGGGCAACTTCCCGAGGATGATTCTGTGATTACTGGCGCTGAGGTTGAGTCTGAGCTGTCCCAGGGCAGAGGGCCGTGCACACCACGCTCCTAAATCCTCATCCCACACCCATTGGCAAAGCCCCTGAGCCCGGCCTGGCAAACCCAGACCATGGCCTGGGTCCATCCTGGGCTGGCTGGGTGACCTGCTCCTCCCGGGAGGTTTGTGCTCTGTCACCCGTCCCCTTACCCACCCTGTCCTGCCCTCCTGGAGCCACCCAGAGCCAGGAGGTGCCCATGTGCTCGGGACAGGACTCAGGGAAGGCTGCTGGCTAATTGTGCCACCTGAGTTTAAAGGCAGCAGCTTTTAATTAACGAGCTTTGGGGTGTGGAACTACATCAGTCAGAGGAAATAAAAGCCAGATCTGGGGGCTGTCTCCAGATGGGGTGGGTACAGCTCAGCCCACAGGACAGGGTTTGTTCTGGCTCCCAGCTGTACATGGCTGGGCTCAATGTGGACACCAACGGGACCTTTGGCGATGGCTGCAGCAGCCGTGATGTTGTCTGTGCTCAGCAGTGTGAGAAAAGCTGGAAGATCTCTGAGCATTTGACTAGGTGAGTTTGTCTTTTTTATGCCTCTTTAAGCATCTCTAAGTTATTTGGTGATGTTAAACGTTGCTGGAACAGGAGCAATTCTGGTAAAGGGTTTGGCCACAAACACCTCGTTAAGAACCCACGACTGGGGGGTTTCAAGCAGCCCCAGTTCTCCCCGGGGTCAGCTCTGCAGTGCTGAGCAACGATGGGCTCAGAGCAGGAGAGACCTGAGCACGAGGAGTGGGACATGCTGGCGTTCCAGGAAACTGTTACCTGCTAGTTTGGGGTCACTGCTGTCATCTTTGGGAAACAGACAAACAGAGCACACAAACAGGACTGAGGAAAACATTCTTTATTAGGTTACGTCAACAGCAAAACCCAACAACTCAACTGGACTGTAGAGACAACGTATGGACTGACTAGTACCTGAACAGCTGAAAAAGGGTGACTACACCTCACCTACCCAGGTGTATTTCTGGAGCTGTATTTAGTGCTCTGGGGAAAGCATCATGAATCCTTTCAGTGCTGTCAGCCATTTTAAATAACTTTTTGAAACACAGTCACAACTTCTTAAATCTACACATTTTTGACTAAGAAAAATCCACCTTGTGGAAAGCATTCCCGTGAGATCTGGACTAGCAGCTGGCAAACATGGTGTTTCATCCTTCTCCTTCTGCCCCAGAACTAACTCGTGTTTCCTCTCCTTCGATGATCAGCTTCTACCACAGACTAAATGCTGCCTGCCAGTGTCGGCTCCCTAAAGGAGCGTGGCTGAAACTCCCAGCTGAGCTGCTCAGCTGCCAGGCCCTCTCCTCGCTAACATCAGCCATCTCATCAAGGTGGGAGAATATTCCCTTGTTTCACAAATGTGAAACCCAAGTTTTGCATATTCATTTAACTTACTGAACTATCAACTTAATTAACAGGCAGAACAATAGAAGTTTTTCACTTCACCTGAACGCTAAGGTGATGTAACTGTGTAGGTGTTGATGTTCTAAGGTGAAACTTGAAGTGAAGGATGTTCTCCTTGACCTCGACTAAATATTGCCACTTAAACCTTTCAAAGACTAGAAACACGCTCCTACCTAAAAGTGGCACAGCAGGAACCGAACGGACACCTTTATTTCTTGTACTTCTTCACAGGGCTCTTGACTTGCTGGATAATAAATTTCAAGATCCTTTCCATTTTGGCTTTAGCCAGTGACTTTCTGCAGTACCACGTTTGGTCCCATATGGAGCACAGAGGCTTGGGAGCCAGGTAAAGCGGATCGTAGTCGTGCAGCGTATCCGACGGCCGCCTCTTGGCGTATTCCTTATAATGTGCGACCGGACAGTTACCAGGATCGTCAGGCTTGGCAAAGAGATGTGGAGCTGATTCCCCTGTGCTTACCCCTGCGTCCAGATCATCCTTCCACTCCAAGTACTCCAGCTCTCCCTTGTTCTTGAGCACCAGCTGTCCCCAGTACAGGTTACGGCTCTGACTGTGTGTACTTGCCCCAAAGCCCCTAATGATATTTGTGAACATGAGGTGCAACAGGCCCTGAGGGTTCTCCTTACTCAAAAGTCCCGTCTTACAAAGTCTCTTCACATCTTCATCTGTCAGGTTCTCCAAAATGCTCCACTCTCCCTCTCTCTCTTCTTTGGACAGCTGCTGCTGCTTTAGTTTCAAGGCTTCCTGAGAGGCTCTGAATTCCAACCCTTTAACCACGCTGTACGCGTAGTTGTGATTCTTCAGGTATCTCTCTATGTTTTTCTGAAAGAAGCGCAAAGAATTGGGGGAAAATTCTTTGCCATTCTGTCTCTTTGCAGAAGTGTAGAACGAGGCCAGGTAATTATCAAGGTCTTCAGGTGGCAGCTTATAGATCTCGCGCGTTTCTGAAGGGCAATGTGAAACCAGCCAGTCTTTGAAGATTTTTGTATCATTTCTCTTTCTCTCCTGCCTCTTCAACACATCTGAAAAATAAGACACAGCTTTGTGGACAGCAAGAACTTACAAGATCAGTGAAATAAAAGGAGATGCAGAATTATGTTCACCTTCCTAGAAGTAATTCAGAGATGATGGGCCTTTCACAAACCCCTTCATTTACAGCTTTGTTTTAGATCTGTGTTCTCAACACTCCAGCCAGTGCCATGTGACACCACCAGCCTAGACAGGGAAAGGACTGTCACCCTTCTTCTCTTTCTCACCTGGCTGGTGAATCTGCATGCTACCATCCAGGTGAACTTCAGATATTATTTCTTTTTGAATTATGTTTAAATGGGAGAGAGGAGTTCCTAAAGAGATTTAATCACTGAATGTCACCAAGGGTGCAGTGGTGGAAAGCATTGCCGTGAGGTCTCTGGGTCTCCTCAGACAACAAGACAGGACTGGGGACTAGAGCTGTCACTGGTGGCTTGACACTGAACTTCCCCCAGCTGACTCTGGAGTTGACCCTGAGTGTGCTCGTAGGACCATGTGCCACACAACCAGTGCTGGCAGTCCTGAGCCTGCAGTGCTGGCTGTGAAGCCCAAGCAACCCCAGAGGGACTCGATACCCCTCCGTCGCTCTGCAATGACTGTGGCCTGGGTTTTGTGGTGACTGCAGGGGCCAAACTCTGCTCTGTTAAAACAGAGGTGAGCTGGTCTGTAGGTGGATCTTGTGATCTGCCTCAGGACTAGGTAGTATCCATTTAACGTGTTCAAAGTGTTGTACAATACAGTTTGCATTATGCAAAATACATTTCAAAGCATTTTTCTTTACAAGAATCTCTTCAGGCAGGAGAATAAAAACATTAACCAAAAGTTACGGGTAGATAGTGAGGGAGAACAAAAAGAGGAGTAGAAGTATATGTTTTGGGTTTTTAAAAAAAAACAGGATTGCCAGGATTCCAGTTGGGTTCTCTCCCAAGTTGCTATGGCAATACCACATCTACCTAGTTCGATGTAGCATGAGAAATTAATTCTTTGGATTGCTGAAGAGCTCCATCTGCTCGCCTGTGACTTTTCCAGGGCTGAAGAGGGGCAGCTTGAAAAGGGTTCTAGAGCCAACATCTAGAGATTTCCCTTCCTGCACCAAGTTATTTTATACACTCAGTTGTTACCTCAGAATGCTGTGGCTGGACTGGGGTGGATTCTACTGATCCCTGTGCTGCTGTTGTAGGTTTTTTTATTTGTTTTGTTGCTGACTGATCAATGTGAAGAGATGAACGGTTGTAAATCAACACACGGAGAGGCCTCGTTTGAGACTTTTATCTTGGCAGAAATGGCCACTACCCAGCCACTCCCAGCTGAATTCACAGTCCCTTCTGAGGACACACGTTGTCAATTACAAAATTAGTCAAATCATCTTCACAAAAACCAACTGTGTCAGTGTGTATGGTCAGTGGCTCCAGAAGGAACATGAATGTCTGTAACCTCGAGTCTGTTCAGGATCACCCCCGTCGTGTTACAGACCATGTCCTACCCGGTACTATTTCAGCATCTCCCTTCTCTGAGGGACACGGTCCAGTCCCCTGCGCTGCAGACACCTGCGGTGGGGCTGCTGCTCTTTAATGCCACAGCCAGTTGAGACAGGTTGTTATTTCAGCAGAGAAACAGGTATCAGTGGCTGGGGGGGGTGGGATGGGCAGCGTAGCTCCTGCCCTGCCTGGCAACCAGGGAGGAGCTGTGGAGATGGGGTCAGTTGTGACATCCCCCCTGGCCACGGGGCAGCAGCTCAGCCAGCCTGGGTGCCCAGACAGAGCCACAGGGCTGGAGGGGGAGTGGGGGAAGAGGATGAGTTGGGGGAATAGGAAATGGGATTCTCACAGTGAGCATGTGGAAGTGACACGTGCTGCTGGGGGCGGCTTCTCAGTTAGATGGAGCCAAGGCAGTTAAGCCACTGGATGGAAAACATATGCTCTTACTCTTTGAATTAAATTTTAAAAATCTGCCTCAATGTTTACACCTAGATACTAGCAGAGCAACCCATAAAACTGACTAGACAGCAGTTTATTTGGAATTAATGTGAAACAGCACCTGCAGGCACTCTAATCATTATAGATGCAAATTTTATGGCTTTACTATAACATCTTTAAAAACCTGGACACTTGCATTGTATTTGAGGTGTTTAATCATTAGATTAAATAATATACACGTACCGGGCATTAAGGCTCCACTGTAATACACATCTATCCTAAAATATGGTTGTTTATTAAAGGAATTAAATCCATTTCATTGATGAATTCCCCACTACTTACAGAAGACTAGCATCATTCTGATAATGTCCACATGCTGTATGTCAGCTGCTCCTTCTTGTGTGGACAGTGTCTGTTTTATAGCAGGATTAAACCAGCCACAGGCAGGGCTTTAAAAATCTTTGTCAAACAGCATATTCTTATGAGACAGAATCATTTAAAACATGCTCTGTGCACAGCTTAACCTTGGTACTGGATGTTCCCTAGTAAGCTGTGTATCCTGCATGTTAATGTTTGAGCAATGATAGTTCTCCCAACTCCAGGAGGATTCCAAGGACAGTGTGGATGAAAATATTAAAATTCTTAAAAGTACAAAAGCAATTTGTTTAGCTCCTGTAATTTAATATGCAGGATTGAAACTTTCCTCCCTTGGCAATCTCTGGGATTTTTGCCATTGGTTTGGGTGCAGCCAGAGTTTCAGCCACAATTTCTCTGTTTCACTGCTCTAAAAGTTACTTCCTCTTGTCTTCTCTTGAGACCTGAGTCCCTGTGAGAAACTGGGGCCAGGGATGGGGACTTTCTCTTCAGTACAGCCAAGGTACTGTGTGGTGATACTGAGTAAAATGAAAGACCAAAGTATTCAAACTGGGTAGTTAAGGCTGAGCCACAGCTAAATATACTTTTGGGTATCTCAGTGAAGGGCATTATCTACTGCAGTGCTGACTGCTCCAGGTAGGAGCCTTTTTAGTCCCTTTTAGTAGAAACAAGAGCTCCCCAAATCAGAGGCGTTTACTTAGACACTATAATCCAGATTTTGGCAGCTACATGAACTCACCCTCCATCAATACTTTGGGAAAGTGATCAATAGAATGTACCCACAGACCCCTCCAGGAATCAAACTCCAGACTCTTACCTGT